TATTCCCACCCACCCCTCCAAACCAATTCCCACCCCCCTCCAAACCAATTCCCACCCACTCCTCCAAACCAATTCCCACCCACCCCTCCAAAGCAATTCCCACCCACCCCTCCAAACCAATTCCCACCCACCCCTCCAAACCAATTCCCACCCCCCTCCAAACCGATTCCCACCCCCCTCCAAACCAATTCCCACCCCCCACCAAACCAATTCCCACCCACCCCTCCAAACCAATTCCCACCCCCCTCCAAACCAATTCCCATCCACCCCTCCAAACCAATTCCCACCCACCCCTCCAAACCAATTCCCACCCCCCTCCAAACCAATTCCCACCCCCTCCAAACCAATTCCCACCCACCCCTCAAAACCAATTCCCATCCACCCCTCCTAACCAATTCCCACCCACCCCTCCAAACCAATTCCCACCCCCCTCCAAACCGATTCCCACCCCCCTCCAAACCAATTCCCACCCCCCACCAAACCAATTCCCACCCACCCCTCCGAACCAATTCCCACCCCCCTCCAAACCAATTCCCACCCACCCCTCCAAACCAATTCCCACCCCCCTCCAAACCAATTCCCACCCCCCTCCAAACCAATTCCCACCCCCTCCAAATTTCTCCCCCACCCCTCAAACCAATTTACACCTACCTAAGCAATCCTGAACCCCAAACCTTTTCCCCCCCTTAAAACAGGTTCTCCCCAAATCAGCTTCCCTTCCAAAACCAACTCCCACCCACCCCTCCGAACCAATTCCCACCCCCCTCCAAACCAATTCCCACCCACCCCTCCAAACCAATTCCCACCCCCCTCCAAACCAATTCCCACCCCCCTCCAAACCAATTCCCACCCCCTCCAAATTTCTCCCCCACCCAAACCAATTTACACCTACCTAAGCAATCCTGAACCCCAAACCTTTTCCCCCCCTTAAAACAGGTTCTCCCCAAATCAGCTTCCCTTCCAAAACCCCCCGAATCAGCTCCACCCCCAAAACCAACGTTTCCCCAACAAATTCCCTCAGTTCCATCCCCTCCCAATACCACAAACCCCCAGTCCCCCCCCCCAACTCCGACAATCCCTGGAACGTACAGATCGTACTGCAATGCGGCCTCCTTTGCAGTGGGGAAAACATTTCCACGATAGCACTTGGCATTGTACCGGAGCTCCGCCCTCCATTTATCCTTTGCAGAATAAACACCACGCAGCTTTTGCTGCTGGTCCATGACGCCCATGGACCTCCGAGTGCTCCCGAGTCCACCTGGGAGTGCAGAAAGAGAACGCGACGAGGCGGGAGTGGTCCTTGAGCGACATCCCGGTCCGTGTACAACAACAGATTCACGACGGAACCGAATCAATAACATTATTTTTCATGGAATCGCCAAAGCTTAGCTTTGTCGGCTCCTGCGCGCCCTCGGTGGGGCATGTCGCTGAGTTCAGGAACCCCGGGTCGGTACCTGTTCTGCCAAAGCTCGTTCAGACTTTTAACTGTGGGTGGTATAACCAGCTTATGTGTTGTGATGTTCAGCTGGGGAAGAGGAGCGGTGTGGACTTTGGAGACTGAGGCACTGTTGTGTACAACTATGGCTAGCGCCGAAGTCATACGCATTGCCACGTCGTCCATCGACCAGACCATTACGTAAACGTAAACTAACGAATTGCGCGGCCGTTTTGTGCAGCAATTATAATTTACTCCATGAAGGAGTGTCTGCAAATACGTAAGTTAGTTGTTGGAAGCAGCTGCTGAACACGAGCAACTTTATTTGGCACATAAAGGCATTCTTCAACACACATGTAAATATGCTTCCACAAGCAATGGTATGCCGCTACCGATAAAGCCTGTGTGGCTGCAAATATAATCGCATGGAGTCATGCTTAAGCACACCAGTGTACTACTGTAGTGAGAAATGGCTGAACAACCTCATGGTATTGGCGGCAATGCTTTCGTTGATTATGCAAGGCAGGATGCGCCCTACCATCGAAACAGGTACATGTACATGCCAAGCGATGACATTCACTTCACACTTCATACTCCACATGCTTGCTAGGTGACAGACTCGCTCTGTGTTTATGACAAAGCCTGGGGCAACTCCTTTACTATACCAAACAAAGCCCGTTGCCACTGGCTTTTCCGTCTGGGGACGTCTTTCCTTTCTGTGCTGAGCATTGCTTGGGTCCGAAGACACTGCTGCTCTCGCCACTGCTATCTGTATTATGGCCTAAGAAAATTTCATTGAACCCAACATCTTTTAGCCCCCGTCGCCTTCCCCCCTTCGATCGGGCCGCCGCCTGGCTTCATCGTCTAATGTTCAACTTGATACCTATGCATGTATGTATATATGTTTTATGTGTGAGAAAGAGACCATTTCGGGCCCCTCCTGAGCTGCAAACCGCCTGCGCTTCACACTACGCCACAACCGCACATACACACGAAACACGCACATACACACCCGCCACCATCAACCCCTATCCCCCCCGCACACACATTCACACCTACTTTGCTTCACATGCTGCCTCGCTCCTTTTACGAGAGCACCGAACCGCCTCATCCGCATGCATCCGCGCCTCACACGGCAAACCCCAAACCCCAAACCCCACTCGGGCCCACACCGGCACGCAGAGTTGATTCAGAGCGCTGGGCCCGTATAGCCGCTGACAATGCCGTACTGGCTCGCAAGCTGGCTGACATCCGGCGCGAGCCCCCTGCCAACTTCCACGCGCCCCGCGGCTACGAGTCCGTGAAGGGGGGCCAGCGGAGAAAGCGGGAGGGAGAGGGTGCGTGTACCTCTGGGTATGGGTGTGTGTGTGTGTGTATATGGCTGCGTGTGTATATGTGTGTGTATTGTTCCATATCTTGCCGGGGCTGACGACGCTGGCCAGGGGCTACTGCTCCTCAGCCCCAACGAACAAGACCGCCGATTTAGCACTACTCTCTCCCCCCAGGGGAAGGGGGAGGGGTTGTGTGTGTATGGCTGTCTGTGTGCTTGTGTGCCGACGAACGGTTCAATACACGAAAGACGTATTGCTGAGGCCTCTGGAGGAGGGGGGCTCGCGGTGTGCGCCTGCAAGTGTACGCAAACGGGACTTAGCAGCTGCGTATGTATATGCGTATGTATGTATGTTCGTTCATGATGTATGTCCGTGATGTATGTCTGTTGACTTAATCAGACGTCTAGTTGAGAAACAGACACCTGTGATGAGATACCTGGCGTGTGCAGCCAATGCGGCCAAGCCACTCACCCTTGGGTCCAGGGGGGAGGGAGCTACGTGCACGTGTGTGTATGGCTGGGCCTGTCGGCCTGTCCAGTTGCCCTGGGTTGCCGCCCACATCCCTCTTCCCTGTGTGACCTCCCCTTCCCCCAAAAACACTCCCCCCCCCACACACACACCCCGGCTAGGTAAGCCCCAGAGCGGTATGCCGGAGACGTTGGGTTACGTGGCGCCCTTCCCCTGGCCCCCCACAGAGCCCGCACACCAGGTGGGGCTGCGGGGGGGGGGCGAGCAGGGGAATGTCGCATGGGGGCGGGGGGTGGGGGGTGGGAAGGGGGGCGGTTGCTGTCCGTGAAAATTCAGTTTACATTAGCGGCGTGTCATTGGTTTGTAAAGAGGCCCATTGAGCTGTCCGGCCACGCGATAGCATACCTGCCTGTGGTGTGTACGACGTGCTAATTGTGCAGATCGTACGACAACCTAAGGCCCAGCGTGAGCTCGACGTCGCCAACGGCTACGTGGCTGCCAAGCTTCGCGATACCTACCGTCACCACGGACACTCGTTGCTTGAAAAACACAAGCTGGGACGGGGCTTCGACTGCAATGACCGTTGGGCGCAACGTACGGCGTTGTACGACGCGGTCTCCGCGCCTGGGGCGGCGTCCCTATCGGTCATCCCCGGTGGCGGCGGCGGCGGCGGCGGCGGCGGTGGTGGTGCGCGTGTGCTGGATCTTGAGCAGGTGAGCCCGTACACACTTGGGGACTGGTGGAGGGGGGTCATTGCCGTACCGTACGCACAGCTTTACCTGTACGACAAGCCAGCATGGCGCCACCTCGCGCCCAAGTTTTGGGGAGGACGGGTGGAGTTCGGGGTTTAGGAGATCAAACCTGGGTGCTACTGTTCCGATGCTTGAGGGCACGGCGGATGTGTGGGTTTGGTTCAATACGTCGTTCCATCCACCCGACCGGCACCTGAGGGGACCTCCAGCGGAGTTTGCTCCCCCGGGTTTGCTCCCCCTCCCTCCACCCGACCTGCCCGCGGTGCCCCGAGGCGTGTAGGGGGAGGTGGGGTAAGCAGGGCGCTGTGGCAGAACGCCTGGGGAAGTTTACGAGGAGGAGAGTACCCAGCTTACAAGCCTTCGTCCCTCACCATGAGCTTCTGCTTCTGCTTTTGCCTCCCCCTTCATTCCCCTTCCACATCCACCCACACACGCGCCCCATGTGCACCTAAGCCACCTGCCCGGGTCAGTAGATGCCCGGCAAACGTGTCGAGTACGGCAAACGTGTATGCACCTGTGTTTGTTACTCCCCCTGCTGCCGGGCGGCAGTATGCGGTGTTCCTTACACGACGACCCGAACCCCCGTTTCAGGCCAGTGTGCCCAAGTCGCTGGGGGTCGCGCTCTGCGGCGGGTGCAGTGCCCGCTGCTTCTACGCCGCTGACGGTGTACGGCTCATGCGGTGTCGGGCGTGCAAGTCCGCCTGGTACTGCTCCGAGGCGTGTGCTAAGCTGGACTACCAGTCACACAAGGTCTGTGGGGTGGTAGGTGACGCCTGCAGGGGAGGGGTGCACTTGGCGGCGATTTGGGTTGGGACGCGTTTCACACGGGCGGGGTACAGCCTGGCCGGGGGGTGGGGCTGTGGAGTAAGGTACGGCAAGGGGGGGTTACGAGCTAGGAATGGACGATGGAGTTGTGTGGGTTGCAGCTGTGGGGGGGGGGAGGGAAGCGCGAGCGTGGCTGTACAGGGGGAAAGGGGGGCTAGGTGCGAGAGGGAGAAGCCCCCTTGGATTTGTGAGCTGCGATGAGTTGGGGGGGGCTGGGGGCAGGGTATGTGTTTCTCTTACGCCGAGCATTAAGAAGCTTCAGTCTGGCCCAGAGCCGACTTGGAAGCACCCCGTGGTGAGTGCAGCTAGTTAAGAGTCGCGCGTTGACCGGTTAGATTCGCTCGAATTTGAGTGGGCCCCCTTCACTCCTTAATTTCACCCGCGGGCCTACTTCGCCATTTCACTCTCTTTCCTTTCCCTTGTTCTGTTTAACTCAGTTCTGAATCTCCCCCCCTAGACATAAACGTCAGGACAGGACTCCTGACGTGTCCCTTCCGGCCTGGTTCTATTCTGGCCATGGCCATCTAGCCTGCTTCCCTCCAGGAGAAGCGGATTGGATTTTGCGTTCGTTGGGTCGAAAAATTCAAGTACAAATATGCACTTAAATTCTTATCATGGAATATTTTTCGTCCGCTTTTCCAATTGTGTGGGTTATGTTCCGTGCGCACGTCTTTCCAACCCCAGGCGCTGTGCAAGTTCGCCACCACGGGTCACTGGGCCCGGGGGGGCACCCGCCCCTCCGAGGACTGCTGGGTCAGCAACGCGGCCATGGCGGTGGTGCGAAATGACCTGCGCCGGAGAGCTGGCGCAGCACTGGCGCAGAAGACGTCCACCACCTCGCCTTCCGCCTCCACGCCTCCGGGCAACTCGACGTCCTCCCCAAGCCCCCAACGGCGGCAACTACGGCAGCAGCAGCAGCAGCAGGAGGAGGCGGTGCCGCTGCATCAGCGTCGACGGCGGTCGCCGCTGCGGCCGGCGAGTGCCTCTGGCGGGTCGCCGCAGGTCCGCCGGTCCCAGGCGGGCAGCGTGACGGGGATTCCTGAACCGGGCGAGGGGGCGCTTGGGGGCGAGGTGGAGGTGCTGTTTTCTTTGGAGGCGAAGTACAAGGAGCTACGGGAGCGGGAATTGGAGGCGGAGCGGGAGCTGCAGGATGTGGAGTATCGCGCGAACCATGGGCTGGACGGACCGAGGCCGTGTATGTATGTGATGAAGCGGTTTGCGGAGCCTTCAACCTCGACAACGGCAGGGAGGGGGTCTTGGGGCTTGGGCAGGCGCCCGGCATCTGCGGGCCCGCGGGTGCGGGCCGGCGGGGAAGGGGGAGCGGAAGGCAGGAAGGGGCAAAAGAAGCCGGCCTGGCAGGATTTGGCGAGGTTTCTATAAGGGATGAAGGGCGGTGTGGTGCCGGTTGCGGAGGGTTGCGCGAGAAGGTAGACCTATTTATATGTGACCTTGCATTTTTGACATTCATTTGGATGGACCATTGCAGCACCGCAGTGATGCCGAATCCTAGGGTACAATAGCTGCAGTCCACCGTGATAACCTTCGTCTATAGGAGGTAATCGCAGCTGCCGTATTTATGTTGGCGTGTATTTTGTGACCGAACTAAGATAATTTCCAGCTGTGGCGTTGACAAAGTGAAGAAACCGTCCCGTTACAGACCCGAGTATAGTCAGCCTGCTTGACTGAAAGAATTGTATGAACGCTCCATATTCGTCGATCCCAGTGCACCCGTAAGACTCTTCCCCGTACGCACAACGTCCATCCGATGCGTAAGGATGGGAGCATATGCAACATACTGCAAAGTTAGCGTCGTACTGCTCACAAAACAAAAACAAGATAGCATTCAAAGACATGTCGTAGTAATAGACAAAATCTGGTTGCACTTGTACCCGGACCGCACGTTAGCGCGCGAAAAGCAGACCTCCCCGCTCCCCATGCGTTCCTTGGCTTCGCTTCAACATAAAGCCATTCAGGAACTAGTGATGCTCGCCCCACTTTGTTAAACACGAACACCAATATACGAACAGTTTTCGCTACCTCACCAACATCCCGACTGCACACAGGGGGAGCTGCTAAAGTACTTAGCTCGTAGTCCCATGCAATAGCGTGCGGACGAGCCACCTTTTTCCCATCCCAGTGCTCGCCGCACCACCACACACACCGTGACGATTCCACGTTACTTACATCCCAAACACCCAAGGAAACGCTCAGTGGCACCCAGGCAAAGCGCTGGGCAGTTGTAGCTGTTACCCATGACCTCTCTTTCGAAAATCCAAGTCAATACAGTGCTTGAAACTAAGCCCAACCGCCATTCATACACGCGCCTCTCCCAACCAAGGCATGTGGCCGAAGGGGCAGGCCGCAATTGACCAAACAGTTCCAGCGTTTAAACCACAGAACAAGGTACCCACGCACTCTCTCCCTTGAGCTATCACGAAAACATACACAACGCTCTGAAAACGCCCAAGGTGTGCCCGAGCACGCCATACCGCAATGCCCGTATACTGCTTTAGGATCGTTGCAGAAAAGCAACCTCCATATCGCTCACCCACATTCCCACACCAACCGCTCCAGTATGGCAACCCGAACATCGCTCCTCTCCACGACATCACAGATGCACTCGCACACATGCATTCTATCCTACGAATGACGATGAGAATGACGATGGGCACCGGCTGCTCGTCTCGACACCCATTCTTATGATCCACGCGTTAACACTATACTGGCGATGTTCCTGAGAGACCCTAAGTAAACCAAGCCGCATAGCCCTTCAGTGCCGCTATCGCACACGGTTGGGGCATCACACCCTTTATCAGGGAGGCCGCATAAGAATTGTATCACCTTTATGCGTCCGCACCTGGGGGCGCACGCTGAAATATACGCATCCAAGCCAGACACCTGGAGCAGTCAGCATAGCCAAAGTCCCGTTGATGCTCGCGCTTAGCACTTCCTCCAACCATCGGAACGACGGCTGCTCGTGCGGCTGCCACAGCCCTCCCCATATCAATCGCAATGCTTCTTGTGGCCACATCTTGCGTGGATATAAAACAACAACGCCACAAGCATAAACATTAGGTTCATTCCGCGCATGCACGCGCCCTTTTGATGTTCGCTCTCCGCCAGGGCCACAGCTGACGAACAGACATGGCTTAGGTGCGCTGGTAACGTGGCACGCTTCTATCGGTGGCCATGGCCATGGGCCAACCCTTGCTCCGCGTCCCTACAAGGCATAGACAGACAACGAGGTCAGACTCCTCACGTTCATCAAGAATGACCTTTGGACAGCAGTAAAACACCTTTGTCTTTAGTCAAATGGCGTTATTGGCTACAACTGCAGCGATATGAACTGACTGCCTCAATTCCTAGTGTCGCAGTTGCTCGTACCAAGGCTTCGTGGCATCAAGGTTTATAACTTCGACGTACCCTGGGTGGCCGTTGGCGGCGCCGTTCGCCTGCGTGCCCCCGGCCGCCCCGCCCTCGTTGGAGTTGACCGCGGCACTGCTGCTGGAGCCGCCAATGAGGCGCGCTAGGAATCCAACAGACGGAATGCCGCGCAGGTGGCGCAGCAGCTTGTTGTGCGGCGGCTCGGCCATGTGGCTCATGCGCCACCAGCCGTGGCCGGCAGCATGGTCCAGGTCCTTGCGCGTGATAATGCCGACCTGCGAACAGCGCGCCACAACATCAGCAGATCCTTAGGATGAGAGGACACCAAGGTTTTAAAGCGCAGGAGCGCGATTGATGAGATTTGGGCAAGGACCCAAACCCCAATGCGGCAGCGGGAGGCCGCTAGCTTACAACCTCGATCCTGCCACAGGCCGGACTTAGGCTTGGAAGGCACATTAGGCTTAGGCGGCGCGGGGCGGGGCGACAAACAGCTGCTGCTGTGAACCCACCACGTGGTTGTGCACGTCCACCACCAGCAGGTGGCGCAGGCCAAGGTTGATGAACACCTGGTGCGCGCGGGCTGCGGAGCAGTCTTTGCGGATTGTCAGTGGGGACCTGCGATAGCACGACGTAAGAAAGAAGATATAGGTGAAGAATATGGATGGAGGACCTGCTCGTGCTATTGAACTCAACACCTTGCGTAGACCCCGAAAACATTGGGCCCCAATACCTTTCGGTGTTATGTACCCCAAGATAGTTACAATTTGCCGCACCCACCTATTCATATACGGCCGCAAGTCGATATAAAGGTTGCTGAGGTCAAGCGTTGTGGAGCCGGCGTGCACACCATCCAACTTAAGCTCGTCCAGGGGCTGTCCAGTAGCGCTGACGTAGCGCGCGTGAGTGAAGTAGCGTCGGAAGAACGTACGCATCTCCGTCTGCCGACAAACAGTTTTTCAGCAATGCGGCAAGTCGGAAACTTCCACCATAGCCGTCGGTTGTTTAGGTAGGAGTAGGACCACCACGATGAGGAGATATAGCTAGTGCCATCCCGGAGCAGGCCCATGCCCCTATTACACATAAGCCGGAATATGTACTAAATTCGCATGAGACGCTGGCCATCAGACCGCCCGAACCAAAACGACAAAAGGAACACTTCTAGTTCTGTCACAAAATTCTTCCTCTACCGAGGCCACCATGTTAAACGAAGCCAGTGATTCTCTTTTTTTCGGAGGAACACCCACCTCCATTTCAAGCTCCTGTTGCTCGCTGTAGTCGCGGCCGATTGGGCGGCCTGTGACATCGCAAAAGTGCCGCCGCTGCAGCAGGACCAGGAGCTGAGAGCGCAAGATGAGACCCACTAGGCGACCGCTGAGGGGGTCCACCTTGGCAGCGGCGGTACCGCTAATGTCTGCAGCATACATGCAGGCAACACTGTGACACTGCTCTTATACTTTAAGGAATCGTCGCTTCAGCCCGATTGCATACAGTGTCCTTATCTTACAAGACCGCAACTGAAGAGAGGCAGACGTGAAGTCCATTGCCGCAATGCATTACACACATGCAATGGGTTTGGGGTAACCAAATTCCGCATGGGCTAGGGGCCACGAACGCGAATGAACAGGTGAACATAATCAACTCAGGAACCCCATGCAGCAAAGGACGGCGACTTCATTAAAAGCGATTTCTAGGTTTCATTAAAATCAGCCGTACTTTTAGCCCATCCATTCGCTCACCCTGCGTGCTGCTGCTGAGGCCATATGACACCAAAGCCTTGGAGCTCGGCACTTCCGAAACCGTGCCACTAGCCTCCTCATCGGGATCCTCCTCCGCGAAGACCGGAAAGCCGTTGTGGGTGGTCGTGCGCAACATTTGAAGGATACGCGACACAGGCTCGATGGTCCTGCATCAGGCCAAAGGGCAACGTCAACATGGGCTTCGATTACCGCGGTACTAAAGCTTTGCACAAATGATAGCGCTGGCCACTCATGACTAGCGCTTCTTCCTCCTGATGCAGGTTAAGAGTGCATCCATGACCGGGACCAACTGATCAGCCCGCTCATCCCTCGTTTCAACAACGGCAGGGCATGATAGCAGTAACCTCCAGAAGACAAAGGACACGTCAGCGTGCGCACACGTCTTAACACCCCGGTTAACTAGCTCCGTACCTGAACCCGCAAACGCCGGTCGCCATAATAGCCTCGGCGGTGAGCGTGAAAAGGCGGTGCGGCGGCTCGTCACGCAGCATATAAACATTACCGATCCGCTCCAGCTCCGACTCGTAAACGCCGTCATGGTGGATGTGGTGCGCGACCCAGTTGGCAATCACCACGGACAAAATCACACCAAAGAGGTAGTCAATACCGCGAGTACCCTCCACCACCAGTACCACCAGTGAGATGGCAGAGCGGAACACGCCAGCAAGCACTCCCGTTGCTGGAAAGCGGAGCACGAGGGAAAAGGAATGTGACCGAAAATTGGGGTTATTAACCGACCCAGATGACAAACATTAGCCATCTGTTTCCATCAGCGGCATTCGCAAATTCATGAGTACGTCGCTTACCTGACATGATGGCATATAGACCGGGCATGATGTTCCATTTTGGCAGCCACAGGCGCAGGATTAGGCCCCAGAAGCAGCCCCAGGAAGCACCCAGCTGCAAGCCAAGACCGCCAAAGAGTCAGATGTGGAAATGTGCCAACAGACCAACAATTCAATGCTTACGACGCGCTCATGCATAAAGGGAAAAGGAAAAAACGTAGTCCTTGTGAAATCTCAGCCATGCAAGATAATCGTTGGAAGATTGGACTGCATGAATGCGAGTATTTGCTTGGTGATGCACCAGGCTGGATAAGTACTACCACCTGGTAACGCCCATTGGCACAACGACCCGATAGAGGCAATGTGGAGGCCGCGAAGGGCCCCTGGAAACCCCGCTTGGAACAATAGCCTTGACTGTCGGCTCTGGATTGTCCATTATTGTATATGTAATAGCCGCGAGAAATATGCATTTAACGCACCAGGATGGAGGGCATGAACAGACCACCGGGTATGGCCAGGCCAGCACCGATGGACATGAGACCCAAATAGACGGTTGTGAACAACGCCAGGGCCCCAATGCTGAACGGCGGAATGTAATCACCCACGTCGCCGTCCTGCAGCGTGTCGTCGTGTCCTACTGAGAAGATCTTGATGATTGTGTGGTGCTGAGAAGAAAGGAACAGGGTCGCGAGGTCGTTGTACTCGCCCTCTTTGCAGTTGAACCTGTCGGCCACACGGTCACGCACATTTAACTTGTAAACAAGCAATCGTTTCCTGCTTTGTACTCCATGTACTTCAGCTAGAAACAATGGGATTAGGGATCCTCACTCTAAACAAGTGGGGCAGCTGCGCAACCCAAGCCCCATGCATGGGCCTACTGATGACCATGAAACAGTCGTGTTTGCTCGACGACAAGCATAGTGGTTCCAACATACAACCCTGAAGGCATAACTTCAGTGGGAACCTTTGTCCCTTGCGCAACCATATGGGTCAGTACCAGTTACTGCCGGAACCCACCGGATGCCATAGCCCTCCTCCTCCCACTTCTCCGGGGATGGCTTGCACGAGCCGGCTGTCCGGCCGAAGAAGTGCCCAACCAGAGACACCAGGAACACAAGGCCAATAACCTCCAGGATGCGCAGCAGGTGGCGCGTCTTTACTGCGCGGACCTGGTCAAAGAAAAATCGTTTTGCAGGCAAGAAAACGGCATGAATGGCGAGAACAGCGCAGCGGGCCGCCACAACGGCATCTAACATGTCGTGTGCCCAGGAAGAAATTTGTCAAGTTGACCCCTCCGTGTCTGCATGCTTGACATGGAAGTGCTTTTGGTAATGATAGATTTCGTACCTTCCAGAGCCACATTCGCAGACTGTTGAACGCAGCACCCAACAGGCCCGCCATGCCCGAGTTGATTACAAGGAAGGGCAGCTGCATCAGCCAGTCCTTGTTGTCCATCTGCCTCAACCCCGTAAAGGCAATCATGCCGTGCTGCGCGCTGTGACACGGGAATCGCGTGTAGGTTTAGGGCACCAATTTAGTTGGTGTGGAGCTCTCACGTATGCATGCATGTGGCAACGTGCAAAACCTGAAATGGTTGCAATCTGGCGCGTCCTTGGCCGAAGTTGACACACCTCATCCATAAACAAAACCGATTTTCGGCTATTGCAGCACTCACCTTCTGTTCAACAGTTGAATGGTGAACGTGGATAACGTCGCAGCAATGAAGCAGCGCCAGGCCGTCTTTCGCGACCAAAAGCTGCACGCCTCCTCCATGGAAAACAGCACACCACCGATGGGCGCGCCGAAAGCCGCTGAAATACCCGCCGATACACCCGCCGACACAAACTCCCGGTGGTCGGAATCGCTAACGATTTCATCGAGAATCTTTAGCTTCTCCTTAATGTTAAATTCCCGTTTCCTTCCAAAACAATTCGTGAAAATGCTTAATGCGCCGCCATCCAAGCACTCTGCGGAAAAACGCCGGGTTACGATGGGGCCTTCCTCGCCTAACCCACAAGCATATGTTCAGGATTGGAACTTACTGCATTCCATGTAAGTGATGACGGAAGCTACGCATGCGCCAATGTGTACCATAGGGCCCTCGGGTCCCATGGGGAGGCCGGCGCTCACAGCGCAGACTGTGCCCACGAACTTGCTTATGAGGGTGTTGAAACGTAGGAGGTTAGGCACGTGGTTGCCATTCAGGTAAGCCATCACAAGCGTCACCCCTGCTCCAGCGGATGCAGGTGCCCAATATTGTACCTACAATCGCCGCGCGAGGAACACAGAATGATTAACAGGGGCTTTCCGCCCAAGGGGCAACTTTGACAGCGCAGACCCACCAGAGCCGTCGCCAGGGTTACGAGGCAGCTGCCGATAAGCCAGAACCACAGGAATGAAACAAGGGTCCGCGCTGGTGCCTCCTTTTCGTAGGAGTCCCGCAGGATGTCAAGCTTCCATTCGGTGATGGCTCCGCAGGCCTTAGTGAGGGCGACCGCGAAGCAACCCGTGACGATACCTGTCAGCGCTGTAACAAGCATCTTCGCAAGCGTATGGCCCGTATATCTGCGCAGGGGGATTAGGTTAGGACAGGCAGATATATTGCAACCCTCGTGCAACTCAATTCCGCCACCCCCTTACCCATAGAGCTTCTTCTTTCCTTCCTTGCGAGACTTCATCCTGTCGTAAAAGAGTTTGTTCTGTATAGGCTCATAATCAAGCGACTCGGACACACGCCCTGTGGGAGCGGTCTTCGAGCCCAACACCTTGGAGAGGAATGACCGTCCCGCGTCATACTTAGGCTCTGCCGTGGGCGGATTGCGAGCATATGTCACGCTTCGACCTAGCATGGGTGTCTCATCTTCTGCGTGTGGTTGCGCCATTGCGCATGTGCCGCCAGGCGCCCAATCGCAAGCCTACAGTGATTGTGTTGCGGTCAACCCCAGTTCACTGTGACAGGGGTTCAATACGAATTGTCTTAGGTTAAATACATATTATCACGGATATAACTAGGAATGTGGTCTCACAAGCGGACAAACAAGGATGTCCCTACAACTGATTGGGCCCATGACGCACGACCGGACAGTACAAATCACCACAGCTTCGCCATATGTCGATGCATCGTTATTAATTTCTGTGCATGTATTCGTAATTGTGCTCTTACTGTCTCCGGAGCTAGCTTTAATAGCTGCCAAGTCCTTGGCACTCGAGAAGGCTTCCTTGCGATGACCGGCTAATACTCTATTGAATGTATAACAATATATAACACGCTTTTACCGTGCTGGAAGCGCCTGCTGTGTTCTTGGGGTATGTGGCTTGGGAGGAGCGTGCAGTTTCTATCGCACATGTGTTTTCTGTAGGTAGTTCTGACCCGACGTCCAGTAGAGGTTCCCCCCTCAAAAAATCAACAGAGAGCAGCCGGCTTTCGCAGGATTGGACTCTTATATTAAGACATATGTGATATGCATATAATGGGACAAGCGAGAAGGTATAATGGATGGCCCTTACACAACAGGAATTTGACAGTGGATTACAAATATTTTACAGCGGAAAGGTTTAGCCCAAAGACAAAAAGCTGGTCTGAAGTTTAGTTGTGGAACATCTCTGGTGGTGGAGTACACGTCAGCCAACAGATAGGTGCCTCAAAAAGCAATCATGCACTGGAGCTGTGGCAGTTTGCTGTACCCTTTCCGCACGAGCACTGGGTTACGGATGACGACGGACGAAGGTGCTGTCAGGTCGGTGTTCAGTCAAAGGGTCTGGCTTCATCATCGTCGATGCGTTACACACTTTACCGGGTCCCGTCTAAGGCTGAGGGAGGGCCTAGGTGCAAGATAGGTGCCAGCCACGGAAGCATGCGCTTTGCAGAGCTTAACAATTTACAGAAAAAGCTTATTGCCGGCCTGGTACATTTGAAGGGACTCACATATGCTTGATACCTCAGATTCACGGAAGGCCGGCCCCATGGCCTTGTCGGGATGATAGTAACCACGGGTAAAAGCAACACACGGCACGGCAGTCAAGCGAATGCGTAGATGATAGTAACCACGGGTAACGCAACACACCGTTCCGTCTGCAACGCCCACTCACCTGGAACAGCTGCAAGCTGCATGTATGGACGCAGGGCTGCAGTTCGACCCTCCCCGGTCCACTACTGTCAGACAACCTAGCGTGCTGACTTCACATCAGCTGCAAGCACAGGTACTGGCTGCAAAAGCCTGCTTCCGAACTGCAACCAACTGAGCCCGCATGTTCCAACTACGGCTTTAGGGCGCTGCCACATGCAACTGACCTCTGCACCACTGCTAAACCGTTTATCTGCACCTGCCACTTTAGCGCAGAAGCTGAGCTTAATGCTCTGGCCAAAGCTGCAACCGACACTGAACCCGTGCGCCTTCCGTCCAGCATTCTGGGATACTTTGCTTACGCGACAGCCTGCCTGCCTTTCAACAGTCCTTGCAAGGCTACTGCCAGCTGAAATCCAACGCAGAAACTTGGCGACCCTGTGGGTGCAGAGCACCTGATGGCTGCACTTCCACTGGCAGCTGCAGACCGCTGCTGCAACTGAATAGTGCTATTACGACTCCCATGCTGCATTGCTCTGTTGGCACTTGGCCCGTGTCTGTTGCAGGGCAAGGAATTGCGGCCACCGTACCAGGTTGCCCACAATGCTCACAAGCGGCGATTAACGTCACCTGCGCACTTCGCGGCGGTCATCTGGCCTGCCGTACGGTGTCGTACGTGCCGGCCCGGTCGGATAACGACTACGGTCAGGACCACCCGCTCCGCCACGGTACCGGTCATCACCGGGTGGGTAGTCACCGGGGTAGCGGCTGTCGTAGGTTCCCTGGTAGCGGCTGTCATAGCGGTGCTCATAACCGCTATACTGCGGGGTTGAACTGTAAGGGTCCCGTGCATACGGATCGCGATAATACGGATCCCGCTCGTAGCCAGCCCTAACACGTGGGGGAAACAAAATGTGGAGGGGTTCATCGTAAGCATGCCATTTCGTGACTTGTGATTGCTCTAGACTCCTGTAACGGGGCGCCAAATTAGCGTCAACAATTGTTAGAAAGGGGCGGCGACGAGGTCATTCGTGCTCTCGCGACTCTTGATCTCAGCATGTTACATGGGTTGTACGTAGAATGGGACTCTGCGACACGACATTCAATGCACGTTGATATAGCCAACTTTCCAACGTTCATTTGACAGCTTGTAAAGCAGAAGTTTGATCTGACGATGTGAGCGCAAACACCACTTACCCACTGTAACCCCCATATCCTCCGCGGTCATTGTAGCCTCCACGGCTATACTCATACTGCCGGGGGTCCCCGTAGTTGCCGCCGCTGCCGTAGCGGTCATAACCGCCACGTTCGTAGCCACTACCGCCACCATAGCGGTCGTATCCGCTGCGGCTATCATACCTGCGGTCGTATCCCCGATCATATCGGCCGCCGCCGTCCCTGCCCCCACTGCGGCCCAACGCTGAGGCTGGAGTCCCTGGTTTGATCTGATCTTGTGGAATGGCTTCTTTGACGGAAATAGGCCTGCCATCCACGTCTTTGTTGTGGAGGTCGCGGATAGCATCCAGCATGCTCTCGCGGTCCTTGAACGTTACGAAGCCAAAGCCACGAGGCTTCTGCGTCATTTTGTCAAGCTGAATGACGACCGTATCCGGGCTATACTTCTCAAACACTGCCATGAATAGGAGAAGAGCCCAGTCAGCGTTTGCAGCGCAGGACTTTTGGCAACATCCGCAGATACCAAACTTACGTTCTCGGAGACCTCCTTCATCCATGCGGTAGGAGATGCCACCCACAAAGACCTTGTGGGGGTTCTCTTGGGACTTGCCATCGACGTCGTCGTTCATCCTTGTTTCCCCACGGTCCATACTGCTTGTCCTTAATAGGTCGATATTAAGCTTATGAACATACAGTGCTGCGGTTGTTTCTTTGTACGTTTGAGAAATAAAAGCTGTACGGCTTCACGCGAACCAAATTCCAACTCGCCCTCCCAGCTGTTGTTGGGCAAGCTAGCGCTTGCTGCTCAAACGGCCAATGAGCTATGGCTCTCTTAGCCCAACCTGTGACCGTTGGCCTTAGTAGGTGTTGACTTTTACATCCATGGCGAAGTCGGCACGCCTGCTGTCGCTTGGCCTAAGGGCATCATCCCAGATTGCAGCTACCCAACTCTGTGAAATTCAGGGAACGGCCCTGCTTGTGGGGTCTGGCTACAGGGTCCCGCACTTGTTAAATGCTAAGAAGCCGTGGTTTAAGTCCTTTGTGTCCGAGCCCGAGGAGGGGGATTCGATTGACGACACGTTTAGGGAGAAGCTTCGAAAGGTCTGCACCAGCACTTTTTCTTCTCTGCCAGCTACTGATTGGAGCCGTTCATTCATCGACCGCTCATGCTCTTCTACACGTAGGTTGCGCACGTCGTCACATTACAACAGGACCTGAAGCACGTGTCCGAATTACATGATAGCATAACCAGTGAAAAGCTTTTTCAGTTGATTCTTGACAGGTAGGAAGGCAACGGTGGCTGCCTAGAAAGCACCCAATCCCAAGGAGTTCCGCATGGCACGGGTTCGCTTTGCTAACGTAAAGATTACTCTCCCATGGCTCAAGTAACTGTGCACGTACTGGCTGCAGGGGAGCAGCACGGGATGCGAAGGAAGCCGAGGAGCTCGTAATGGCAATGCAGCGTGCGGGAGTAATGCTGCTCCATAACAAGCAAGCGTACCTCAGGCCCAGTGAGCTTGTCCAGCACTGCCTGCCGGTGCGCGGCTAGCATGGACCACCGCACCACCTTTGCAGTACTGATATGTATTCATGTGTTTCACCCAACCTAATCCCCTGGGCTCTTGACCGGCGAATCACAGGACTTCTTGAAGGTGGAGGAGCTGAAAGCTAGGCTGGACGATATCGACGCAAAGCTGCAGCCGTACGATGAGATCAGCCGGATCGCTGAAAAGAAGGCCTGGCGCCTGCTGTATGTGGGCTGCTTTTTCATCTGTCTGCAGCTCGCCGCCTTTTTGCGTCTGACATACTACGAGCTTTCGTGGGACGTAATGGAGCCCATCGGTTACATCATCTCTTTGTTTTACACGATGCTCGGGTACTTCTTCTTCATCTACACGAAGGGCCATCCCTTTGACCTGCACCCGGTCAAGGAATGGTACATACAACGCCTGAAGGTGCGCTGGAGTCTCGATGCCTTTGTTTTGTTCTGGATAATGACACTAGTATGACGGGTGATTTATTGAGCTGCCTCCCAAATCTGCAAGTGGGGACATGGTGAACCTCTTTCTCGCATTGTGCAGGGCGAGCGTTTGCTGTCGTCTGGTTGTGCGGAACTCGACGACGAGCGCTACCATGCTCTCACCAAGGTGAGGCAGCCTGAATTTGGATGTGCATGCATGGCGCGTCAGGACTGCTGCTGTGCGCATGTACGTACAAGATTTGGCACTAAATCTTGCTGGCCACAATCTTCGTTAAGTCTCTTCACTCCAAAGAGAGCTTAGGTGCCATCGTGGAATTGTCGCGCGTGCTTGCCCTGCCTTACATACGCTGCACAACTTACATGCAGGCGCGAGATCGCTACTTGAAGCAGCTTCAGTTCCTCCAGAAACTGGAAAGCAGGCACGCTTCGGGAGCCACGTAATAGGTGGTGTGCCTTGGGCTTATCCGTCCTCCTTTGGCTTTGTGTGAACTGTACAGTTACTGAACGCACGAGCGTCTGTTGAGGAAGGACGTTTATTCATGATACTACGCATGCGCAGGACAATTTTATTGGTCTTATCGCCTTGATGGGCTGCGTCAAGGAGCATGGCTCCCATGCATGAGATTTTTGCCGACCACGGCTTTGTATATATCCTCTATGTGGTGTGTCGGATCTGATAAGGAGAGGTCCCGTGTGTCATAAGGGATTGGGTCGGAGTGTCGTTGCAAAGATGATTGGACAATTTTGTATGAGGTGTAGCTACACCTGTAGGATGGGTTGGCGGAAATGACGCAGAGGGAAAACCGGATGCGTTGGGTCGGAGTCTTGACGTTAGAGTCGTTCCTAAGAAGCAACCCTTACGCATTCAAATGAATGAACGGGTTTGTGATTGGTTATTGAAACCCTTGTTGTTCGCTGTGGTTGGTTGCCTTCCGGTGCTGGTTAGTAATATTCTAACTTCCGCACCTGCCTCGTTTGCGCACGCCGCTTTGCCTTGGGTCGAGACGGTAGAGCCCACTATCCTCCAGCCTATCTTCGTAATGCCATATACGTGCCGTCCAACGTATAGGGTTGGGGGTAAGCGCTAAGCAATGGTTCGTTGGAGTTCAGCTCTATGTAGCCTACCATCTATCAGCTCTATTCAGCCTTTAGAATTATTAGGCCCAGCGCTTATGCATTATATGGCGGCCTAACGTGAAACTAAATGCTATGGACGTCAAGGCGCTCAAGGTGCGTGACAAAGGCAAGCAACCACAGCATGTGCGGAAGCAGATAAGTTTATCCACTTGCAGGAGGTAACGGCCCAGCTAGCTGCAGCGCGGAAGTCGCTCGAGTCGCAACGGTTGCTGCGTGAGGGCAATCTCACCGTCATACGACCCAGTAAGGAGCTGCGTACACTTACGTGCATGCTTTCCGACGAAATTTAAATTTATCTGTGCCAACCAGGTGAGGATGACCTTAAGCAGCTGGACAGCAGCATCAAGCGTAACTCGACCCTGACGAAGAAGCTTCGCCAGCTGAACGAGGACAACAAGCAGACTATTTTGGATGATATTCGGAAGACAAATCAGAGCAAGGTCTGAGGTTTCTAGCTGGTGAAGGGCTGACCTTTCCCCATCCCCCCTAACCCCTGCCAACTCTAACCATATGCTCTCCTGCCCGGGCCCCGTCTCCTCTCACCTGCCTCTCACAGTACGTGAGCGAGGCTGTTACAGCTATAGCAGAGGCGTCGCTACGGAACGCCGATGTGCCCGCTGCGGTCGCCGTGTGCAGCTTGCTCCACCAGCGCTACGCGGACTTCGGCAGCCAAATCGCTGCGGCGCTGTCCAAGGTGAAAATGAGGCTTTGGCTGGCCGGGCCTTGCGCTTTCACTAGACCTGTATGCAGCTTCCAGCGGCTGTGGACAGGGAACGGGCTGGAGGGTGGGCTCTGGTCTGACTCCTGCTAGGCCATGCATGCGGACCGTCATGAGGCCCTATGCATGGGGGATGGGAAGAGACGCACCCTGGGTTCCATTGCTTTAAAGCCCTCCAGGAACACTATAACCGACGAGGGGCACCCTCTCCACGTTGAGTGCATGGCACTGCCGCACCAGGACCGTGCGGGTAGGGGCTTTTGAGGCGGCCTGAGTGGCCAGGCACGAATCCAGGCACCACCTTGCCCCGCTTCACACCGGGGTAACATCTACAGGCATGGAACCTCAGGATCCACCCGATCTAGCTCACCCCGATGATATGGATTGGGCATTTGAGGCTAATGTGGCTTTGCCGCTACGGGGCTACGGTGCAGGCGTTTCCTAAGCCCGGTGGCGGAGGCGGCGGGCCCGATGGCGGAGGTGGTTCTGGATCGGCTGCGGACCGTGACGGCGCGAAGCGGCGTAGGGCGGCTCTGCGGCTGCTGGGGGAGCTGCTGGCGGGCGGGGTGTACAGCGGCGCGGGGCCGCTGCTGTCTATACTCAAGGACCTTGTGAGGAGGGTTTTAGGGTCGCAGGGGGGTGATAACCGGGTGATAACTGGGGAGGTGGAGGAGTGCGGAGCAAGGAGGAGGGACGTGTGGGAAGGAGGAGTGTACGCAGCGACGTGGGAAGAGGGATACGTGGTAACAGGGATGGCTGTACCCCTCGCACAGCACGTGGAAAAGCATGTCAGCAGGAAATGGGTAATATGGGGGCGGAGGTTGGGGTGCCATGGCCTAACAACCAAAACCCTCTTCAGCGCTCTCAAGCATCCCCCATCTCGCTCGTTCGCCCTGCTACGCCTGCTCCCTCTCCGTTGCTTTCCTTTACTCCCCTACTGAAGGCTCTTCCCGACTACCGCAACGACCGGGACGCTGCCCTGACCAGTCTGACCCTGCTGGGTGCGTTCGCCCGCACCGCCCGGGAGCTGCTGCTGGGACAGCCCTCCGCAGCCGTGCTGGCGGCATCGGCAGCGGTGCACAAACAGCTACTGGAGCAGGTGGGGGCGACACGCAACGACCCGTCCGCAGACTGGACAGTAGGGCTTAAAAAGGAAGGAAAGCTGCACGCCTCCACAACTACAAGGGGCTTTTTATGCATCGCCCTGGTTACGTTGGGACGGAAAATTTAAACATGTTGTCTGGGAATAAGCAGCAAGGAAATCAGACCACAAAGGGTGCGACTCCCCGTAAATAGGGCGAACGGGGCCGCCGCGAGCGTTTCTGGATATTTAGTTATTAGGGTTTGGGTTGGGGGGTTTGCTAAACGCCATTTGGTGGGTATTGGGATTGTGTGGAGGGGGGAAAAGAATTATGTGAGGTAAGGGAGATTCGGTGGACACATCCGTATCTCAGGCGCGTACATGCTACATGGATGGGGTTGGGGCCCTCGGGTGCTTTTGGGCCGTAAGGGAGGTGCGGTGGTGTGCTGAGTGGGGCATCGGTGCGCCCAGGCTGAACCCCGGCTGGGAAGGGCCGGGGAGGCGGGTGGTAGGGAGGGAGGGAGACACGTAGTGTGACCGGGAGAGGGGAAAAAGTGGCTGAGGCGGCAGGGAGG